CAGCATTGCTGGAAAAGACAAAATGTGAACTAAGCTTAAATGCCTCATTCTTTTGGGCTGATTGAGCATTCAAATGTTTCAAGCATTAATTGCGAGCTTTGCTTGTCTATTGAAAATTTTGGGAAAGAATTTTGTTTTTGATTTCCAGCAAAAGTTGCATTCAAAACAAAGAGGATGTTTTTAAGGGTTTCAATTAGTTCTTAAAAACATTTGCAGAAAATTATGATAATGACTGTAAGGGTTGTATCACTGAGATATTACGTTTACTGTGAATTAATTACTAAATTGAAATAAAAAGTAATAAAACTGTGTTAGAGCGACTTTACGCTACGCAATCAAATACAAGATCTGTTCTACTATTTGATTTATAGTGTCATCGTTGAAAGTAGCATATCTAAAAATCACTCACATGTAACTTGAGAAAGCTTGACGGTTTGTGTGGCAGTAAGCAATTTCTTTTGTTTGAGATAATCCATCAGTGGTCCCCAAACAAGTTTTGAGATCAGGTTAAAGGTATGTGGAAGCGCTGTGTAGAAACCGTTCTAAATCAGAAATTCATGCAGTCAAAATAATTAAATAAATTCAAATCTGTTGCACCTGTTTCACTTCTAGCATGAGAACATCTTTGAAATAGACTGGAATGTAAACGAGAATCATGGCAATCATCATGTTGCAAATTATGCTTGAATAGAATACGACAATCAATGGAGCAGACCTCATCATTGACCTCCAAGGAATAACCTAAATACAAGCTTCCATAGATAACTAAGAAATTAGAACATTGTTAGGTAAACATACCTTTTTTTGGCGTTTCGTCTGTTTCTCAGGAAGATGATGTTGGAGATACGTCACTTCGTGATCGCTAATCCATTTGGAATTAGCTGGTGAGTTGTTCACAGTGAATTGCCATACAATGCACCAAAAGAATCCCAGGATCCCTAAAAATCTGAATTGTCAGAAGATGGTGCGCAGTTATTTGATACGGACCTGAACTATAGAAGACAGCAGGCCACCGTAGCTTGCTGGCACAAAACTCTGCAGCTACAGGATTGCCAATAATCCCTATAATAAGATTACTTGCATCGGCTATGAGTCTAAGAAGCATTCGAGAGCCGAAGTGATTTATTTATATACGCTCGTTGTAATTTGCATAGCTTTAACTATACAGGAAATTAATGACGAAGAATTAGCTCTCCACACGCTTGGTATTACATGTTTTTATCTTTTGATAGATAGGCAATCAAAGTATTTATATG